TCTGCGGTTAGCTTATATATTGAAATAAGATGTTAATAAAACAGAGGGAATCATGGTAAAAGTTTGGGTTGAACTAATAAATCAAGTGAGATATGCTTTGCCTCTATCGAATATTTTGCGCAACGTACTTTTTTATATTGTCAGCAAAAACAGCTTGTTGGTCGAAAACCAAATATGGTGGAAATTGGTATTTTTGTGTGAACACATACCTTGAGAACATTCATACATTATCCTCCAAGGTAACCAATATGACTTTTAAGTGATCTAGTGCTTATGGATGACTTAAGACGGTGGTGGCCTGATGGTAAGGTCACCAAATTACCACCTCGAGGAACGTCTGTTCGAACCCCACCACCACCAACGCCTGACTTTCCCCATGACAGCCTTTAGATTGGCCGCTTGCCCCTTCCTGAAAATTGTATCATTGTGTATTCAACAAAAAGGGAGTTAAATTTAAAAAAAGATCAAACCAATTATCTATACTTTGAAACCTCGGTTGATAGCTTAGAGATTGCTCAATGTACGAAAGTTCATTACCCTTATACCGCAACATAGCTTTTGGAGCATACCCGTTGACTTCATTGGCGACAACGATTTATGTAGAACGTCTCGTAAAAATAACAGAAGACGGTGTCTTTCAACAATCGGACTTCTTCTGCAAATCGGTACCCAAACGAATAAACAATGGTAAAAATATGCCAAATTGAAACTGTGAAACTATGCGGTTTCACAAGCATAGAGGTCTGTGAATCCAGTAGCTCGACCAGTAGGGATTCTGGTAGATCAGTTGCCCGTTGCGGTTATACGGGAAACATAAACGAAACAAGCTTGCTTCCGGTGATGTATCTACTGGTCAATTACAACACATTTCTTAACTCAGGGAAATAACAGGGGACACAGTCAATTCAGGGTTTAGTGTGTGTTAAATCCCTTTCCCTCCCATGACCAAGTGACCGAAGTGTCCCACCTAACATTTCATTCGAATATCTACACTCCACAAGTGATTATCAGCAATTATGCGGTCGGCGCTGAAAAATATCGCTCTCTTCCAACCCCTTAACTCTCATTTTGCACATCCCAGAACCCTGATTTGACTGTTTCCCCGTGCTACTTCCCTGAGTTGTATAATGTACTGTAATTGGCCAGTAGATAAAACCAAAAATTTCAAACGATAACACGTATCTTTGTTGGATGGGAAGATACCTAGGGGAACTAATCGAAATGTAGTGGGTGGCGTTGGCCATTAGAGGGCCCGGTGAAAAAACAGTGCGATTAGTCTGTATAGGTTTGAGCCGCTGGGTGTTTGTGTGTGTGTGCATTCGTGTGTGTCGTGTGTGTGCCAGTGCTTGTAGACAGTATCAGATTCAGTCACTCATAGAAAAGGTCCGATTAGACATGCGTGCAGAACAGTCAAGGGCTCGAATCGATTACGGGGGATGAACTCGACAACATACGGGGCTAACGTAGGAAGATAAACGCTGAGTCATTGGTGTGAAGTTCGTGCATGTATAGTGTTCACAATGAATTGTCTATCCCTTTGAGGCACAATAAAATCAATCACCAGGTTCTTGTTCTTTCTGGGTGGTAGTGGCCAAGTGGTTAGGTCACCAACTAATGACCTGGGTGTCTCCGGTTCAAACCACCGCTCCACCGCCGCTCATCTTCCCTATATCTGTATTGTCCCCAGGCAGCCTTTGTATCGCCGCAGCTCCCTTCCTGAAAATTGACTGTATGTTCATTTGTATATTTAATAAACGGGAAAATAAAATAAAACGACATTACATTTTCGTCATTGAAATACCCATCGAGTGAAACAATTAAATGTGGAGTTTTTTTGTTATTTGAAATAAAAACACTGCAGTGAATATTTTTGGATTGTAGGGAAAGGCTAGGGGTCGACATCCGTAGTAGTGCACTAAACAAAGAAATTGTTTGACACTTCATTTTTCTATCAACCGAAAGTCGATCCATTTTGCTACACCCTGTGGACAAGAAAAGCAACTGTTTGTAAGTATTTTCCCTAATGAAACTTGGACCCGGACTCAAAACCCCGAAACAGGTACAAATCGCTATTTTTCTCTACCATGATGCACGTGTGTTCCGATTTCTCTCTATTACCTGGATGCAGTCAATTGTAACCTTTCACGGAGAGTCGTAAATCGCCNTTAAAGCACAAACAAACGCATGATGTAAGCAGGGAAATGATGGTTTATGAGAAACTTGCACAAGATATTTTCCCGCCGAATCTTATCGCAACTGCCGGCAAAGTCAAATACATTTTTCTCCTATAAAATTAAGCTGACCACAGTTAAATTATGGAATATTGTAGCAGAGCAATCCATTGACGAAACGAAGTCAGAGCAATTTCAATCAGAACGCTGATCGTGTGAAATATTCCACTACTTGTCAGAAACTTAACACCGGATTATTCACCCAAACCGCCTGGGAGCATAGCAGCTCACAGTGAGAACCTAAAGTGAATCCCGTACATTCGTGAATTCGTGCTGTTGCTCAAAGTAAGGTTGAACAACGAAGAAATTAGTGGGCTATCCTGCCAACCAATTCAATGAAGGCCTTTGGAAAAATAACCTAGTACAGGCAGTATAAATACCGGCAAATGATAAATGATTGATTGGTTTACTAAATCACTCATCGTTGCGTTAGAAGCTCGCCGAGCACATGTGCGTTCACGGTTGCAACTGGGGGCATCGGCAGCGATTGAAGTGGTTCGAAACGTGATGTAAAATGAGTGATTGATCAAACGTTCTATAAGATTGGATCATATGACGATGATCGAGTGGGTGTATCAAGTTCTAATGCCGGTCGCTTGGGGCAATAATTAATGCAGTTTGCAGGGAGTCATGCCTGGTTCACGTGGACAAAACAAAACGGAAATTATGCATACAAAGAATAATAAGCGAGTTGACCATAGGTCACTGTTGACCTAAAATGAAGGTTGCACACCTGACCAATTTATGGAAGAGATAACGTAGTGCTAAGTAGAGTATTACAAAATCAATGGAGTTCCAAAAATGGTGTCGTGTTTGTGCGAGGAATTCGGAGATGATGGGGCAAAATGGGCCATTCCACATTTTGTGGTAGTGATGTAAATAACGGTAGTCAACACAGAAACCCACAGAGTGCAGGCATACGAAGATTTACTCACCAGAATATACACTGATAGAACAGTCATGGCGTGGAGGTGGGCAAAATACATATTCTTTGCAAATGGTTACACATCCCATTAAAAGCAGTTGTTCAATGGACGGTCATGGGCAGACATTTTCGCATGCATTTTTGTAGTTGGACGATTGGTTCTACTTGTTCTCCTTGATGAAGAAACAGGTAAGTCAGGGCAGTCATGGAACCCTTTTTGTAGACCTTTCGAGATAAATTGCTTAAATGACGGAATTTAAAAAGATTGGCTTCCTGGATTGGAATTGACAGTTGCAAACTATGCAATTGGAAAATGTGGAACGTCGTGATATGAGCACGGTCCAATTGCCTTCATATCTTATCGCCTACACTAACTAGATGGTCTGAAGAACTTAGAAAACCGTAACGTCTCCAGATGATCATTACAAGTAAGTGATTGCGCAATCCTACTCTTGTAGAATTCCACACCTATTGACATCAATAATGATTAAATATAAATATATAAATAAAAATATAAATCATTTTCGGAAAAGCTGTGTAGAAAGAAGTGGAAAACTGCAAAGCTGTGTGACGGGTGTAAAGTGCTTCTTATGAATCAAATTGATTTCTGACTTATACTAAATTTTAAACTTTCCTGTAATTTTCTCCGTACAACAACAGATCCTAGGGACGACTCAAACATCACTTGCAAACGGAATGACACCACTTTTGCGGGTTGGGTTTCTAAAGACTCCGAAATTACATCACTACTAATTTACGCCTCATCTTAACTGCGGTACCGAGAGGAGTTAAATTTTACCGAACCTACTATAGCAAACAATATAGCTTGGGAACCTCGAAGAAAAAGCAGAATTTTTGTTCATTCTGATCATGACTCACGAAATACGTTCGAATACGGAAGTCTTTCGGATGCATAACTATCGAGACCCATTTTTCTTATTTCGTGTATTCTTCTCAATAAGTCTACTTTTTCCCGCAAGCTTTTCTCACTTGCCGTTAACTCTTCATTGGCAGTAAAACGCTGGATAGTTGTCCACTCTTCGGATATTAGCTTTTACCAGAATCTCCCTGTTTACCTGAAAAAAATGGTGGACTTTTCGTTCGTAAGTTTAGACGGAAATCGACCGAGGAACGAGTTGATGTCGTGCTACCGCTACGAAATACTGGGTCCAAAAACTGAATTCTGCTTTCTCTTCGGTATTCAGTTTGGATTTTTCCACCAACCCAGTCCTCAGCCCTTAGACTTAGCAGATAAAAATTGAAGCACAACTGGCGTGATGCGTGTCAATCTTGTGGACAAAAGTCCTCTTTGAGCGGCCTTATTTCCTTCAGGATGGGACTCAATAGCGGAAATTTTCGATGACTGGTTGTATACAGACAGTTGTACTCGTCCGGAGCATCAAACAGAATTTTATGCGTTCAGAACACTGAAATGACAGAAACGAGAAAAATGGCTTTCTCAAACAGATGACATTAGAAGACTAGTTCTCTTTGTCAAATCCATTTTTCTTCTGACTTAACCGTTTCCATTTTTGCGTGAGTACTCAAATGTTAGACTAACATAGACGACTTTCAACATTTTAGGCTCGAATAGGTCATAAATGAACGGATAGCTGTAGTTTAAGTTTGACTACAAGTGGCTTACATGATGATTAACAAAGTAACATTTAAAAATAAAATTATGATACTAAAGTAAAGATTCAATTTCCGACATGGAAAGCAAAAAGGAAAGTATAAAGCGAGTATGAGAGTGTGAGTATGTTAACATGGTTTACATAATACAATGTTTATAATGTTTCGTGCACCAAGGACGAACCTCCATTCTATTCCTTTTTGTCAGTGCGATGTTATTACGGAGATCCTTACTAGGTACTTNTAAATCCGCCTTTAACCGGAATTTGAAGTTATGCGTAGCGCGTTTCTTTGGAATCCTTTTCGCCTTCATGTGGTTAAAACGACCTAGAGGAAAACTCGGTGCCATCCAATCTAAGGGGAAAACTGCTTCATCAAAGGCTAATTAGTGGGATTGCGCAAAAAGCAATATCACCAAATGTTTAGTGCATTCTATTTATTTTTCTTACTGTAACTTAGACAATGTTTCCCGCTTTCCATTTTAGCCAAGTTCGAGGCAACAAGGGCTGAACCAACATAAACACAACCAGGATGCCGTTTTCAATGAAA